CGGCGTCAGCCCGCCGGCCAGGATCAAGGGCGTCGGCGCCAGCACCCCCCGCTCGGCGGCGACCCGCGGCCAGTCGAGCCTGTGGCCCGAGCCGCCGTAGACGACCTCTTCGCCGGGGGCGACTTTCACCGACGCGTCGAGGAGCATCGCCGCCAGCGGTCGACCCAGATCGCCGCAGGCGTCGCGGTAAGCCGCAGCCTCGGCCAAGCCCGCCGCCCCGATCCGCGCCGCACGGATCACAGGCACGCCGTGCGGCAACTCGTTGACGAACTCCGCCGGCTCATCGCCGTGGAGCTGGATGGCGCCCAACGGGACCGACGCCACCACCCGGGCAATCTCCGCCGCCGACGCGTTCACAAACACGCCCACCACCACCGGCCCGCCGTCGACGGCCCGGGCGATCTCCATGGCGGTTTCGACCGAAACGCTCCGCGGGCTCTTGGCGTAGAAGTTCAGCCCGATCGCGTCCGCGCCGGCCTCGGCGGCGGCGACGGCGTCGTCGGGTCGAGTGATTCCGCAAATCTTGATTGTGAACATCCGATCACTTTGCTGTGCGCGGCTGTAGCGAGTCGCGTCGGCCCGACGCGGTCCACGCAACGCTTACCTCTTCTCGTGCTAGCAGCGCCGGCGACGCAATGCCACGGCGCCTGGGGTCAAGCAGAACCGCCCGTATCGCCGATGGCAATGACGGTCGTCCGCGCCAACGATTCGCGGTCGCGCCCCTCTTGCCGCTTTCCGGTGACGCCTCACCGTTTGGAGTAACGCCCCGATGCCGTCGCCCTCGCTCTCGCTGACCGTCTCGCAACGCGCCTTCCCGGCCCACCCGCGCGCCGACCGCTACTTCGCCGCCGCGACGAGCGAGGCCGCCCGCCGTCGGCTGTTGCAATGCCTAGTGCGTGGCGACGGCCCCGCGCTGCTGCTCGGCGCGCCGGGCGTCGGTAAGACGATGCTGCTGGAGGTCCTCTCGGCCGACCTCGCGCAGCAAGGCCTGTGCGTCGTGCGGCTGGCGAGCACGCAGCTCTGTACCCGCCGCGCGCTGCTGCAAGCGATCCTTCACGGCCTCGGCGCGCCGTACCGGGACCGCGAAGAGGGCGAGCTGCGTCTGGCGTTGACCGACCTGCTGAGCGACACCACCGCCACGGGCGAGGGCGTCGCCCTCTTGGTGGACGAGGCTCAAACGCTGCCGGTTCGCTTGCTCGAAGAGTTACGGGTGCTAGCGAACGTCGCCGTCGATGGCGCGCCGCGGCTGCGGCTGATGCTCGCGGCCACCCACGCCCTCGACGAGGCGTTCACCGCGCCGGAGCTCGACGCGTTTAGCCAGCGGATCGCCGCGCGGTGCTATCTCGATCCGTTGAACCGCGACGAGACGGCCCGCTACGTCCGCGCTCATATCGCCGTCGCCGGCGGGGACCCGGACCGGCTGCTAGCCCACGACGTGTACGAAACGATCACCCGCGCCAGCGATGGGCTCCCGCGGCTGATCAATCAGGTGTGCGACCGGGCGATCGTGATGGCGACCGAGCAGGACCGCACCGTGATCGACGCCGCCGCGATCAGCGAGGCGTGGAGCGACCTGCACCAGCTCGCCGCCCCGTGGCAGTCGCCCGCCTCGGCGCGGCTCGCCGCCGCGTCGCAGCCGCAGGCCGAGAGCGACTCGTCCGTCGAGTTTGGCGTGCTCGACGACGAAGAGTACGCCGCGGCGCCGCCCGCTCCGCAGGGCGATTGGAACGCCGGCGACAAGCTTCACGAAGTCGCCGCCGCGTCGCCGGCCGCTGAGGCGTTCGATGACGGCGATGAGTCGTTCGAAGAAGAGGACGACGATCTGCCGTGCGTCGCGTACGCGTTCCCCGGCGCCTCGACGCGCTTCGACGAAGAAGAGGAAGCGCTCTTGCGAGAGGCGGACGACCTCTTCAACGAAGTCGCCTCGGCGTCGCAAGCCCCGAGCGAGAAGGCGCCCGCAGGCAAGCCGCAACCGGTTTCAGAGTCAAAGCAAGCCGCAAAGGCGCCGCAAGCGACGCGCGACCCCTTCGACGAAGAGTTCGACGAGGAAGAGATCGTCATCGATCCGTTCGCCGAACTCGAGCGGGTGATCCCCGCGGCGCCGGTGGTGACAAGCAAGCCGAGCGACCTCGGGCGGGCGCTGGCGGCGATCGACGCGGCGGTCGATGGCCTCTTGGCCGACGAGGCCTTCTCCGCACAGCCCAAGGCGCCGGCGCCCAAGCCGTCGGTGGTCGCCGCCGCCGAAGATGACATCCTCATCGTCGAGACCGAAGACGGCCCGAAACCCGAAGCGCGGCGTGAAGAATACGCGCAGCTGTTCGCGAATCTGCGGCACGGTTGAGGCAGCGTTGAGATAGCGCAGTGCGCTGGGAGCCGGAACGCGTCAGCGCCCGGAGTCGCCTCGGGTACCCGCTTCACTCTTGGCGCTAGCGCATTCCGGCTCCCCGTCACTTGGTTGGGCTGTTGGCTCGTAAGCGGGTGCCCGCCACACGCCGGTCGCCAACGCTTCCCGCTTACCGGCTTGGTGGTAAGCTGTCGCGGTCTTGAAGATTTGTCCGCAATCGCCCCCACCTCGTACTCTCCGATGGCCAACTACCTCGTCACCGGCGGCGCCGGGTTCATTGGCTCACACATCACGACGGCGCTCGTCGAGCGGGGTGATACGGTCACCGTGCTCGACGACTTGTCGGCGGGGTTTGAGAAGAACCTCGGACACTTGAAGGGGAAGGTCAGCTTCGTCGAAGGGAGCGTCACCGACCCCGACGCGGTGCGTAAGGCGGTGGAGGGCTGCGAATTCGTCTATCACGAAGCGGCGATCGCTAGCGTGCCGGCGAGTCTGCGGACGCCGCTGGAGTCGCACGCCGCCTGTATGACGGGGACCGTCAATGTGCTGAACGCGGCCCGTGAAGCCGGCGCGCGGCGCGTCGTGATGGCGGCGTCGGCGGCCGCTTATGGGGACCAGCTGTCGGCGGCCAAGCGGGAGAGCGATCCGCCCAAGCCTTTGTCACCCTACGCGGCGTCGAAGCTGGCCAGCGAGTTGTACTGCCAGGCGTTCACCGCGTCGTTCGGTTTGGAGACCGTCGCGCTGCGGTACTTCAACGTCTTCGGGCCGCGGCAAGACCCGGCGAGCGAGTACTCGGCAGTGATCCCGATCTTCGTCACGAAGATGATCGCGGGCGAACGGCCGACCGTCTTCGGCGACGGCATGCAGTCCCGCGACTTTGTCTACGTCGATGACGTGGTGCAGGCCAACCTGCTAGCGGCCGACGCCCCGGCCGCATCGGGCCGGGTGATCAATGTCGGCACGGGTCGGCACACGACGCTGCTCGACCTGATCGCGGCGATCAACGCGGCGCTCAAGACGAAGGTCGAACCCGTCTTCGCCCCACCGCGCGAGGGGGACATCCGCGAAAGCCTCGCCGACATCACGCTAGCGCGGACGCTGCTCAAGTACGAACCGAAGGTCCCGTTCGCCGCGGGCCTCATGCAATCGATCGAGTACTACAAGTCGATTGCGAAGTAGCACGCTGGTTGCGATCGCTTCGGGTGGATCGCTCGGCGACCACCCTGCCGGCGCCGTGCGAACTGGCCGTAAAAACAAAGTACGCGTCTCCTGCGCCTATTCTGAGCGCCTTGCCGATGCTCCGCCTTCGTGCGGAGCGTCCTGTTCATCGCGTCTCGTCGGGTTGGCACGTTTCGTGCTCGCCTGAGAAGCAATCATCGTGCGCCGACTCTCGGCAGTGCACGGACAGCCAACACATCAATATCAAAGGGGTGCGACCATGAATTGGGATACGATCGAAGGCCAGTGGACTCAGACCAAGGGCCAAGTGAAGGAGCAGTGGGGCAAGCTCACCGATGACGACCTCGCCACTATCAACGGCAAGCGCGACCAGCTTGTCGGCAAGGTGCAGGAGCGTTACGGCGTCGCCCGCGAAAAGGCGGAGCAGCAGGTCAGTGACTTCGAGAAGTCGTGCAACTGCTAAAGACGCTAATCACCTCGATGACGCTCTGAGGAGCGGCCAACGCGACACGTAGCGGACGGAGAACTAGCCATGACTGCGAGCCGAATCGGCGCCGGATCAGAACCACCTGCCGGACCCGACGACCCAAAACCTTCCCCGCCTGCGCCCGACTACGTGCCGCCGCGGCCCCCTCACCCCGGACCGGCCAAGCCCGGCGACCCTCCCGATCGTCCGATGCAGGACCCGCCGGCGTCGCCACCCGCGCCCGATCCGCCGGGACCGATGCGTCCGATGGCGTAGCAGGTCGCCTGCTCGGCAGGGGGCGCCCGCTCGACGTGAAGTGTCTTTGCGTCGATCATCTTGGCCATGCCGACCCCGAAGACCTTAGTAGCCGTCGCCACGTACAACGAGCGCGACAACCTGCCGTCGCTTATCGACGCCATCGAAGTCGCCTTACCCGAAGCTGACATTCTCGTCATCGACGACAACTCGCCCGACGGCACGGGCGCTTGGGCTGACGAGCGCGCAGCGGCCGATCCTCTGGTGCGTGTCGTGCACCGGGCGGGAAAGCTCGGCCTCGGCACGGCGACGTTCGCCGCGATGCGTGTCGCGATCGATGAAGGCTACGACGTCGTCTGCACGCTCGATGCCGACTGGAGCCACCCCCCAGAGAAGTTGCCGGACCTAATCGAGCGGATCGCCGACAGCCGACAGCCGGCAGCCGACAGCCCCTCCATCGCCATCGGCAGCCGCTACGTCCGCGGCGGACGCATCGAAGGCTGGCCGCTGAAGCGGCACGTCGCCAGCCGCATGGTGAACGCGGCCGCCCGATTTCTCTTGCGTCTGCCGACCCGCGACTCTAGCGGCGCGTTTCGAGCCTATCGCGTTGAGGTACTGCGCGGATTGGACTTCGACTCGATGCGCGGCACGGGTTACGCCTATCTCGAAGAGATCCTCTGGCGGCTGAAACGTCGCGGCGCCAAGTTCGTGGAACTGCCGATCACCTTCACCGAACGCCGCGCCGGGGCCTCGAAGATCAACGGCCGTGAGGTGCGCCGGGCGATGGCGTTGCTCTTCCGCCTCGGTCTAGCCGAGTGGACCGGACGGGATCTGCCGCCCGTCTCGGCGAATGAATGAGGAATGAGACGCGCAGGCTAGCCCCTACTAGACGCGCTTCACTCAGCCTTGTCGCTTCTAGCCTCGCGCAGAGACGCGGAGACGCAGAGTTGGATGTCTTCAAGACTCACGCCAAGGCGCTAA